ATGCACAGGGTGAGCATGGGTCATAAATAAAAGAATGAGAGCTTTGTTCTCCTGGGTTTTAACCAGGAGCTTTTTCAGAATAACCAAATGACTTCCCAAGATTTGGCATCCATCCTCTAGCCAATGATCTTTTTCCCAGGTTAGACTGACAGACTTCCACGGTCGAGCACCTCACCCTGCACCCTTTTGACTTATTGCTTATCCTTATCTCCCCCTGTTCCTCCCTCCCACACACACAATCTGGTACAGGAGGGGGGAAGGGAGGGGTGTTAATCCCCTTGGAGGAACAATTTTGTAATTTCTTGGGGTGTGAAGCTGTAGCTTCCCAGTGAAGCAGATAGGCCTCCACTTCCCTGCTGAGTATGCTTAACAATGTCTGACTTCCCTTTTTCCTCTTTCCTTTAATAATTGGCTAACAATGGAAACACTTCTACTTCAACTGTCTATATGCCTGCTTCTAGCATATTAAGATGAACCCTGGTTTTAACAATTTGGGGTGGTAGTGTAGAGAAAAGAATCACTTTGATAGACTCAGCTTGTAAGACATAGCCCAATGCCAGAAATAATACAATGTGAGAAAAAAATGCCTCTTAAAAAATCAAGGATTTTTATCTGTAGTTTGATCCATCTTTCTTAGCTAGATTTGGTGATTGTCTTTCTGAGATAGTCTCTGAGCTCACCTCTTAATAAACTCAGGGATTTTATATCAGGGGCTGAAAAATCTCTACTTGAGGCTCCTACCATTTGACCTGGCCCGTTGGGGTGGTTTGCCTCTAGTCCAGTGTCAGAATCTCTGGGAAGGCGCCTGTTCCATTTATTGCCACAGGCTCTAAATTTTTCAAGATAGGATGAGGGTAAGTGATGTGTGTGGCATAGATAGCAGAATAATTATTTCTATTCTTTAACTTCCCAGGACCCCTAAGGGATCACCAGACCAGCCTTTGAAACTCAGGCCATTTGCTGACTTTCTGTGCTTTGTTCATATAGACCACTGGTTTCTAAGCGTGGCTTCATATTAGGATCACCTACGGAGGCTAAAAAACACCAGTGCCTAATTACTACCCACCTAGATTTTATTTTAATAAGTCTGGAGTGTGGCTTTGATACCAGATACAAGGGGTCCAAGGCCACCTGTCACTATTTGCTCCAAATTAAGCAGAGACAGGGTTGAATCATATGTAAGCGTTTATTTGAATAGTGCCGGCAAAATGGGAGAGCAGTTGGTCACCCTGGATATTCTGCTCTGACTTCCCTTGCTAATTGGCTGATTATATACCAGTGAGGGAAATGATAACTGCATGCTGCGGCGGGCTGCAAGTATAACAGGGAAAGGGGAGAGGAGGGTCTGCAGTCAGGCTTCAGGAGTTCAAAGCCCGATAACCAGCTTTCCTGAGGCAAACTCCTGGAAGGGATCAGGGTCCAGGCACAGCAACCGTATCAAAGTGTATCGTATCCTTGTTCTGTCCTCAAAATGTATTTCTTTTCTGAGTAATAGACCCACTGAGGCATCTTATCTTTTTATAGCCTTGTTTCATCCTCCAGTTTCCCAGGGTCTGTAAGAAAACTTCTTATCTATAGTTAGTAAGGTGAATGATTATTAAACATCTGTGACTCTATTATTACATGCACTTCCCCACTATCAGCCTGAACATTTATTTTTGTTTTTTAAGCTTTTCTGGTGATTCTGATGTGTGGCCGAGGTTGAGATTGCACCACCCACTGCTTCCACCCTGCCTGGTCCAATTGTGCCTGTGGTTCAAACCCTCTGGTTGCTTCTCTTCATCCCCCTAATGATATTTTCTGCAACTCCTTCATCTGGTTAGGGCTCCAGGGAAGACAAACGTGAGAGGCCTCCACCCTGTGCTAGCTTGAGGAGTTGCACTTGCATCTGTTTGCACATTGGCTCTAGAAAGGGATCTAGTACTTTGAAATAAAATTTTCAACCATTGGCCTTTGGGGGGCCTAAGTTACCCTTTGTGTGTCAGAACAGAGCTATTTTTTAAAATGGATTGCAATACTTTCCTCTTGGTTAACTGTAAATCAAAAAAATCTTTCCTTAATTGGCTACATAGTTGTACTGTAGGAGGAGCTCCAACCCATGGAGCACCACGCTGTTCTTTGCTAGTTCGAATAAAAACATGCAGGGGACCAGAGGGAAGAGATATAGCCTTTATTACTTACATCTATGTTGGGGTGAGTTTCGGGCTTCTGCTTATCTAGCAGAGGGGAGAGGGAGAGGAAGAGAGTTGTGTTGGGAAAGCCTACAAGCAGACCAAGACCAAACAGAGAGTCTGGTGAGGCTTGTTAGACATCAAGGACCTGGGAAACACTTGGGTCTGAGCTTCTCTGCTCATCGTGGCTGCTAGCCAAGTGGCCACCATTCCACTAACTGGGCAGGGGAATTGGGCTATATCCTCATTGACCCTCCAGTAGTAGACTAATTGAATATAAGCTTCTTGCAGATTTTGACATCAAATTAAAATTTTTCAATACTTATCAAAAGCTTAGTTCTAAAATGTAGCCTTCCTGGAGATAGTCTAAAAATCTATCTCTAGTTCTCTACTGTACCTTTTTGAATTTTTTTTGATGAGTTTGGGGGCTACTGAAGACTCTTCAGGATTGCTGATGGGGCAAGTAAACTGAAGCAGGTTATAAAAAGGCAGGGGCAGAGCCCCTTTTCTTGCCCCCCTTATCCCAGACCCATCACCCCACTTTTTGACACATGGAACAGTTCCCATGAGACCAGTGGATCATGACTGCCTCATCTCTCCATTGAATCCATTTTTAATAAATTTAAGTAATAAATACAATTTAGAGCTTTCTCTAAGCCTCTACTGTAAAATTCTGTTTGTTTTTTTGGGGGGGTTGTATTGTGCCTTTCATTATGGGATGTTATATTTAAAAAAAAAAAAAAGTCATTTGAAAATTGTGAACTTAAAAGAAAATACTGGGGATATTTGCAACACCAGCCACTTCAGAGAATTCTTTTCTAAGCATGCATGAAAAAGATCCTTCTCAGGCTTGGTGTATTGCTAGAAAATGTCATATTCCTCCTCAGCCGCTGATTTGGACACTGTGGACCTCACAGCTATTTCAGTTTTCCCTTTCTGCTGAGCAGGTATGAAGCTCCGTGTAAAATCTATGGCCACCTTGAAGAAATATATAGTGCTTGAGAGTGTTTAATTTTGTATACTAACTTTATTTACCCCAACTGTATTTCTCTTCTTAAAATTATTTTCCATTTGTCTTCTTTTCCTCATCCATTTATTTTTTCTCTTCTAATGCATATGTCCGTGTTAGCCCCATCATTCTTTTTGGAATAAGCTTGTGTGCAAATTAGCAAGTAAATAACCGTCCTAAATATTTTAAGGAACTTTCATTTTGATCCACTCTTAATACCTAGGTCTTAACCCTTGCTAATATGTCACAAAAGTTTCCTAGCTGGTCCTACTGTGTCATTTGCCTTCCTCTCTGAATCCCCTTACCTGCACAGAAGAATCCAGCAGGGTAAATGGCCATTCATAGCAGTGACAACCTCCCTTTGCAGACCCATTTCCTGTGGCTCCCCACCAGCTCTCCATAGTGCTACAGCTCTTGTTTCTGCCGCTCAGCCTTTGCTTGCTATGTGTACTGATCTGAACCCCTTCTCCTACTCCTTCACTTTTCTCCACTCAGAGTCAGTTTCCATTGCTGATTCCCTCCAGGCAGGGCCGTCCACTTCCTTGGTGTTGCTTCATCTCCTGGTACACTCCTCTGGTCACACTAACCAGGCTGCTGCTTGCCTATAGGCACCTTTGTGCAAATTAGAAAAAGGCACGCACCACTTCTTCAAGATACTTGAGAGGACTTCCAACTGTTAGAAAACCATTTTAATAAATACAGGTGGGGCAAAAGTAGGTTTACAGTTGTTGATATGGGAAATAATACAGGAGTAAACTCTGTGTTTCATTACTCACACCCCATCCTGTATATGAGTCTAAGTTGTTTACCTTGTTGGTGGCATCCTGTTAGGGTTGTGGCATGCACAGTTGCACAGTTGTTCTTGGTGGTCCTATCTGTGTTGTAATTACTGTGATTTATCTGGATTCCCCGCAGTATTTGTTTGACCAGAAACGGCCCTCAACAACCAAAAGCAAAAGAAAGAATTAAGGTACATATACATGCCATGTTCTTGTCTGGAAAAATAGCGGGGAGGGCATACCTGACAAGGCCTTTTGCACTGAATATTACAAATATATTGTAATTCAGAGACACATGATTTGTTGACATTTCAGTATTTCCAAAATCAGTGGGTATTTTAAAGTCAGTATATCATGGTGGTTGAAAGCACAGACCCTGGAGATAGATTGCCTGGGTCTGAATCCCATTTACACGCTTATTTGTGTGATGTGAGGTACGTTACTTAACCTTTCTGTGCCTCACTCATCTGTAAAATGGAGATGATAACAGTTCCTACTTCTAGGGTTGTTGTGAGAATTAAATGAAGTATGATATGTACAGTGCTTAGAAAATACCAGGCACCTAATAGTAAGAGATACAAATATTCACTATTATTATCAATATTATTAAAGGCTATGTATACATTTATTTCTTTTTAACTCCAAAAAGCTGTTTTTAATCCATGGTGTAAAGCTTATATTGATAGTGTCTTGTTTCTGTGGGCTGCTCACTGGGCCTATGATTGTGTGCACTGTGGTCACATACCCACTGCTATTGCAGTGCGCCCTCCTTTGCCCACACCAGTTTTCTGGTTGGGGCAACAAAAGATACATAGTACACAGACAGGAAAACAGCAGGCTTTGCATTTTCCCCCCTAAGGGCAGAAGAGAAGGGGGAAAACTAGCGCCCTTTATAGACAAGGCTTGTTTTTTAGGTTAAACTTAACTTGTTCATGTTCTACAGCTTGGATTGGTAATAAATCTTGGCTCTATAAAATTAAACACCAGAGAGAATTGGGTTCAAAAAAGTGATTTTAATGTAAAATCATTATCTAATTGCAGGACAAATTTCATTTGATGATTTTCAAGAAAGCTGTGCTACAGAGTGTCAAAAGGTAATGAATGTTCCTGTCCAGGTTCCCCATTAGAACCCTCTAGGGTACCCTGAAGTTAAACAATAGGTGAAAGTTGCTGCCTGGATTTCTCCTGATCATTAGTTTTCACTTGTGTCTGTAACTGTACATGAAGGATGAGGTGGCTGTTCTCTGTTTGTTTCAGTATGTCTTTTATCTCCTGCCTCCTGCTAATTTTAGAAACTGCAATCTTGTGAGAAACTGCAGAGCTCTTGCTCCATTATCCCACCCTGTTGAGGGCTCTTTCAAATTAATCACGATCTAACTAATGCATTCTTTGGAGATGTTCTGACCATTTTCATTATTAGATTAAATGTTTTTTTCCAGATTGCATTATTTTAATTGACTTTATACTCAACTTTGGTAAATATTGTTGCATACTATACTGCACCAGCTGAAACTCTTACAGAAGTTGCAGTACATTTATTTGGGGTTTCAGCTGCCTTTTCTTAGTTGAACAAAACTATAAATAAATAATATGAGGATAAGCTAAAACTTTACCTTGCTTAATTTTATAATTTGATCAAAATTTATTATATGCATAAACCTGGATTCAAGGTTATTTCTGTATGAAATTAGTCAACTTTAGCACTATTTAAGGGTTTGTTTAATTGCCGGTTTCCAGGAAGAATAGCCACATGAACTTTTTCCAACAGACCTTCTTATGGATTCATTTACTTGCACATTTCTGGAAATAATAGGTAGACAGTTGTTATTACTCTTCATGTTCTAGAAGGCAGAGAAGCAGACGGTAAGAATGTGTTTACCTTGACTCACAGATTTAGCATTATACCCAGTTCTACACTGTATTGCCTCACACCCCATTAGGTAACACCAAAGGCTTTGTTTTCTAAAGAAGCTCATAAAATCTAAGGTTAAATGTTCAGGACATAAACACTATGGTCATTTTTTGCTTTACCTAAACTTGGAATTTCCATATCAGCTCAAAAATCTTTTTTTTTTTTTTTTTTTTT